AAAATTGTAAATTGCAACTATTTGAAGGTCGTATCAAGATTCCAATGGTCTATTTGACCAAGTAAACACTTATTTTACAAAATTAAAAATAAACTATACTAGACTAATAATATGTGACAAGTTCGATCTATCGTTGATAAGAGGATTAAAATAGCTAAGTCAATTTTTACGGGACTGAAACTTTCCTTATATCTTCACTCTTATGGTGGCAAATTCAACATCATATTCTAAATTTCGTGGAATGTTGTCTAGTTTGTTGTCGTTTGTAAGAAGATTCATCGTTAAGGGCCGACTGTAATTATGCTTACAAAAGAGATTTTTTACTTGAGGGTGACCGTACATTACAAATAGGGGAAATATGCAATGCCCCCCTCAAATTAAAAATATTTTGAACTAAACCCAATTGACTTTTAGAGACTTTTGTCTACACCCAAGTTTCATTCTTAATTAGTGAGACCCCCCTGACCAAATATGATAAGACTAAAGTACCCTTATGTGGTTAGGTTTTTAACGTGATACAATTTTATTTCTCTCTTTCACTCCTCCCCTCTATATCTCTCTCGTTCCCAATTTCACGTCGTCTTCTTCCTTCTTTTTTTTTTTTTCTTCTTTCTGCAGATCTCTATACTCGCCGGCGCACTCCTTTATCTTTTTCACACCACCGTCGTAGTCCGTTCACCATAGCCACCGTTGTTCGTGCACTCGTCATCGCCGGAGCCAACAATACCTTTCAACCGCCGGTCGGCCGAAACCTAATGTAGGAGGCCTCCTTCGTACAAGTGGTGGTGGCGGTGCCTCCCCCATCTCGTCGCAGCCCTTCGTCGGATACGTTACATGGAGATTTTCCTTTTTCGTTATCCCTCAATTTCTCAAATTTTTTTTTTTTTTACCAGATTTGTTCACCACCGCCACCGTAGCCACGTTTCCACTCTCTTTTTCATTCACCGTCGTTGTCGTCGCCTCTCCCTCCCTCCCTTTCGTTATTTCAATTTTTTTCTTTTTTTTTTCTCTCCAGATCTGAAACAGCAGCATCAACGTGACTACTCTGGTTCGAATATGACTATTGTTGATTAACTCGATTAGTGATTTATAATTTTCTCGTGTTCGTCGCCTCTCTTGATTTGTCTCTCTTTACACCACCATCGTCTCCACATAGATTTGTACACCACCATTACCGTCGCCGCTCGTTGCCGTTCGTTTCTACGTAAGGTTTTTTCTCTCTTTTTCGTTATCTTTCTCGATTTCTTAGTTTTTTTTTTTTTGTCCACCACCACCGTCGCCGCCTATCTCACTCTCTTTCCTTCACTACCGCCACCACCGCCGTTGTCGTCGACTCCCCATGCCTCTCTTTCGTTATTTTTCTATCTTTATTTATGTTTTTTTCCATTTTTTTTCATTCAGATCTGAACAGTAGCACGAACATGACTATAGTCATATTCGAATATGACTATAGTCATATTTATGTATTTTTCGAATATGATTGTAGTCATATTGGAATATGACTATTGTTGAATATGACTGTAGTCATATTCGAAGATGTTCTATCTTCTCGTTTTCAAGTTGACTTCTAATAACTAGATTCAAAATTGTTATTTTTTTATGTGGTTTTTGATTGGATTGTTTTCGTAAACAATAGGGAATCTTCGTTGTTTTATATAATTTGGTAAACATGACTATACCACACTATATAATCGGAATTTTTAAGTTGAAAATGTAAAAAACTGTAATATAATTAAAGAATATGTCTACATAGTCACATATAGTCATATTCAACCATAGTCATATTCGGAGTTGTAAACCTGTCGAGAAAAAAAAATCAATTTTTTGTTTAAATTTTTTTTTTATAAAAAAAAACTATTTTTATTAAAAAAAAATACTAAAAAATAAAAATAAATAATCCGAAAATAAATCATATTTTTTTGATTTGGTAGCAATTTTTTAGGAATTTGGAAGCAGATTTTTAGGAATTAGATTATTGTTATGGAAAGAGAAAAAAAAGGAATAATTGAGACTAATTATACTAATTGAAATAAGGGTAGAATTGGGAATACAATTTCTAGGGGTTTATCACAAAGAAAGATTTAAGGGGTGGACATATCACATTTATTATCTATACGAGGGGTTTATTGCTAATGACCCCTTACAAATAATATTGAGCGGAAGGTTTGAATTTAGTTTGATTGTTTCTCTACCAATTTTCTTGAGTGGAATCTACCAACTCATGCCGTCAGCAGATACAATGGCAATTGTGGGCCAACCATTGACAAATTGGTCCCAACGAATTTTCTTCGAAGGAGGCGTTACCCCTGACTCAGACACCATACGAGGTGGGATCCACCTCCCCCCCCACCCCACCCCCCTCACCCATCCAAAGTTTCGTCATCCGTTCATTACCGCGGTGCCACGTAGTTAGCTTCGATCGCTAAGCAAACCCTGCCACTGTTCGGATTTTTTGACTGTAATAATCAACTGCGGGTCACCTTAACAAATCCCCCCCCCCCCCACTCAGCAGCCCCTATATAGTATATATACGCCCACTTCTAACATTTGACCACTCTTTAATTAGGCATCAATCGAAGCAGACACGAAGTTGGCGCCAATGTTAGTAATTTCCACTTCCGAAAGTGTTTTAATTTGTTCTTTCTTTTTGCGCCACTTTGTTTTTCATTTTCTTGATTTTATATATAAAAAAAAAAAAAAAAAAAAAAATCTTGGTGGGTTATTTGTTATGATGGATTGATTGTTTTAACTTCACGAGGGCGCCGAATGTATTAAAACTTTTACGAGGGGGGCCGGATAATACTAATTATACACGATTTTTTTTCTGTTTTTGTTGGGATTTTTTAATAAAAATAGTATTTTATTAAATATTTTATTTGACCAATTTATGAGGTCATTTAGAACAATATTTTGAAACTTCCAAAGACATTATTTTGTCTCATAAAACTTCAATATTTTCCTTTAATTCTATATTAAATAGAGGTTTTATGGTGGTCATATTTTATACTATAAAAAGGGGGACTTTGTGGTTTTACAAGGTACATGAGAGTGAAGAGAAAAAGAAACATTTTTCTTCTATACTATATACTTATACTTTGAGCTTTTGTTGTGTGTCGGGTGTAAGCTTCTACTTCACTCGAACGTGCAATTTCGGTGAAGTTACAGCGGAGAGATAGGCTGGGCTGTTGTATCCCATAGGCGACACGATCGGAACCTTTTTGCACCTCATTAGAGAAGGGGTCGTGAAATTCGTCTTAAGAGAGCGACCTAGTCCGCGCCTCACCTTGCCTATCTCCATATTATTGTGGTGTTTTATTGCAGCAACTTGTTAGAGAACAAATGGAGTCCAAGCCTCGTCCACAAGTTTCGTGATCAATCGTCGAAGTGCAGCCGTGGTTCCAACAATTTAAGACGAATTTTTTGATCCCGTGAAGATGAGTTTTGACGATGATCCAAAAGAGAACCATTGATGATGAAAAGGGAGATAATTCATTTTATTTTATTAATATCTTGTGTTGACGAAATAAAATTAATGATCTTATTTTTGTTGTAGGTGAATCTATATACAATTCACGAATTTATACTTTGAGGTCAGTTTCGGACCTGCTAATATCCGAATTTGAGAATGTGTAAAACACGAAAGCTGTAGGCATTTCTGTTGTCTGTCCGAAACATCTTGAATCACTGAAATCGGACATCGAACGAGAGAGATATGCTCCAAATACTGAGCACTGCTGCAGCTGCCAAATTATGCGCGTTTTTGAGGTATCGAAAGAATTCATAATTGAAAATATCGAATCAGGTATATTCTTCGTGTCTACATTATTAATGATGTTCTTTCAATAGTATAATAATAGTGCATGATAAGTATATGATCAAACATATGTCGTGATTTGAATAAATAATTATTTAGAGTTCATCATGTTTGATGTGTTAGCATATAGTCGACTTCGTTTATATAGCATATGCAATACACTCAAAAATTCTAACTGGTTAAAATATCATATGTTTGACCATCATCAAAATTATATAAATTGCACGAGCCCTATTCGGCGATGCATGAGAAAATGAATTGTTTTAGTGGTGGACCGTTATTTGCATATTGACTGATCATTAAATATTGAAACGTTTTGCTTGTATTTATTTGCCAGAGGAACCGATTACATTTGTTAAAATTAAGTAATCTTTAATGCACTATTATGCGAGTAGTTTATGTAAATTAATTTGCATAAGCATGTTTGTTAAAGTATTTTTAAAAGACACGTAATTTCTCTTTATTGTGGCAGTAATGACTAATGAGAGTAAGGTTTTTAAATTGAGAAAATAACTTTGATAAATTATTTCTTTTTTAACATAATCCTTTTAAAATGTAAAGAGATTATGGCTATTGCCTCTATTTGAGAAATAAGCATGATTATAATTGGTATCTTAACTTTAATTCATGATTCATTTGGTAGAGGTAATTTTGCATATGTTTAAACATTTTATGAATCGTTCGGTGTGCTTTTAATATTGATAAATAGTGGGGGTAGTAGTAATAAATTTTAATTGCAAAAAAAAATGAGTATGATCAGAGTCAATACATTCTATCTTGATTCATGATTCATTGGTATGTTTTTAGTATTGAAGAATAGTGGGGGTTTTTTAGTGTCTACTTATACGAGCATGTTTTAATTGATTTTAACGTGGTCTATGCTTAATGGCTCATTTTATGATCGCAAATTGTTTATAGTGATAATGTGATAAATTATGCTTTATTTGCAAATTGATTATACAAGTAACTATAATAGGCCTAAATTTGCATATATGTGACATTGATGTGATTTACAGAGGCCTAATTGTGATTATTAAATTTGCTGAAAATATACTAGCAAATATATTTGTGATTTGTGAAGTGAAACATTTTTCAAAGTTTTCAATATTGTTGAATTTTGAAAATCTAAAAGAGAGGAATTATATTCCAATTTTTCACCTAGTGTGAATGAGGTATATGCCAATAATTTTAAAATTGAAAATTCATATCAATTTTGATTAATTATTTTGACATTAGCCTGTGAAGAGGCCGGTTGATACCGAATGTGATATATAAAATCCTAATGTGTGATAAATCAAATGCTTTGTGCTTTGATTAATGAGATTGTGAAAAATCAATGATTTGTGCATTGATAGATCATACATGTGATTGAAAACTGCAGTTGGCAAAAGCGAAAATCTTTTAATGGGAGCCGGAACCATTAAAAGAAAATACAGTACTGTGAATATATGTGAAAATTCACGTGAAATCTATGAGATATTACATGTAAAATTATTTGAGAATGGTTAATAAATCATTGAGTCTACGAGACTAAATGTCAGATAAGCGCTGCTAAATTTGTGAAATTATATTTCATATTATTTCAGAAATCATCTGAAATGCATCGAGGGGGATTGGGTGAAAGCCTAATATATTTTGTAAAGTTGTTGATGAGGATACTACCGCCTAGGGGCTAGAGATCCTACGAACTAGGCGAAGAAAAACGAATCTGAAAGCAACTTGATAGTGATAAAAGTGCACACTTTTATTATCCATCTCTATGATGCGTGTGTACGAATAAAGCTCGTAACGAATTGTGAGGTTGAGACTTTGATCTCTTAATGAATTTCTATAGCCCGAATGGGTGGGGTGTTGGAGTTACGTAAACATCCTTGATAGAATTCACCTTGTGAGTGTGGAAGTGGGGCCGCTTCCTATGAGAATTATAGGCTATTCTCTAGAGCTCTCACGAGAAATGGGGTAAAGCACATGGCCGTTAACGTGCTGGCTTTAGAAGCTTCGATCGGGACACTTTGAGTATTATGTGTGCAATATGATTCTACGTGCCCCAAGGATCACTGTTTGAAGGCTTAGTCCACTTTGATTCTAGTACGAGAAACATATTGTACTAAGTGAAGGTTTGAAGGCATTGTCCACTTTCATTATGCATAATATTTCGCAAGAGCTCAAGTATTATTATTATTCTTATTTTTATTAAAAATAGTGGGGGATTGTTGGGATTTTTTAATAAAAATAGTATTTTATTAAATATTTTATTTGACCAATTTATGAGGTCATTTAGAACAATATTTTGAAACTTCCAAAGACATTATTTTGTCTCATAAAACCTCAATATTTTCCTTTAATTCTATATTAAATAGAGGTTTTATGGTGGTCATATTTTATACTATAAAAAGGGGGACTTTGTGGTTTTACAAGGTACATGAGAGTGAAGAGAAAAAGAAACATTTTTCTTCTATACTATATACTTATACTTTGAGCTTTTGTTGTGTGTCGGGTGTAAGCTTCTACTTCACTCGAACGTGCAATTTCGGTGAAGTTACAGCGGAGAGATAGGCTGGGCTGTTGTATCCCATAGGCGACACGATCGGAACCTTTTTGCACCTCATTAGAGAAGGGGTCGTGAAATTCGTCTTAAGAGAGCGACCTAGTCCGCGCCTCACCTTGCCTATCTCCATATTATTGTGGTGTTTTATTGCAGCAACTTGTTAGAGAACAAATGGAGTCCAAGCCTCGTCCACAAGTTTCGTGATCAATCGTCGAAGTGCAGCCGTGGTTCCAACAGTTTTAAATCTATACATAAAAAAATAGGGATTCCAGAATTGTTGGGGGCCAAGGCCCCCTCTGCTGGATCTTTGTGTTTGTGGGGTTCTGTTCATTTGATGTGGAACAGAGCTTTTTTTTCTTCCTCTTGAAATTACTGCAAATTTCATATGTAATGTGCAATTACTTGTTTATTTTTTGAAAGTAATGTTTCTATATACGTACAAGAATCATATACAGTTTAGATATTTTAGTTCGAACCATAGATTTTGCGCGCAACTGAACTTCTACTCGGTTCCGTTAATGTATAGAATCGAATATAATATTTTACTTTTTTATCATTATTATCGAGCGGATCTGCCATTGATGATCTATCACTTTGTGTAATTCTGTGATTAATATGTGTACGTATGCTTTAAGTCCGTTACTCGCATAATCGATAATGTAATGTGCGTGTATACTCGCATCGACTAGTATACACGTGTTCGTTACGTAGTGTGTGTATCGCATAGGAATGAGCTGTGCTGCAATAAAAATACAGCTGCAGAATTCTCCGTTCGTCTCGACCAACCACTCACCATAAATCTTTTTACGGGCATAAATTCACGTGCCGTGGCCGCTAAGTAAATTTCTTTATATAAGGTCTGTGAATAATATCGTGTTACCATTTTTTCTTCAAAATTTCGTATTGGATTTCGTACATCTCTTCAGCAAAATTTTCCAGAGTCTATAAAATGCTCGGTCCATTTTTTTCCTAATTCATTCGTAAATCTACTTGTATAAAATCTCGATGAGTTTAGTCATCTTTTTCGTTGCTTCTCTTTGTTATTGATTCAGATAAGGCCTCGATTTTTTACTGCTCTTAATTGACGGATTATTCCCAATGCGTCCTCTCGAGCAGACCTCTTCCTTTTCTGAAATCGATTATTTTTATTCGAGTGATGAAGAAATCGTTTCATTTTTGGGTAAATTGACAACGGAATCGGATCTGCCGTATAATGTGGTAGCAGATTCAAGCCCTTACCAGCGACCACCCTCCGATTTACCAGGTTATATATTTACTCGTATTTTCTATTATCATTTTTCCTTATCTTAACGACTAAGAATTCAATGCGGGTCCCGTCTTATTTAACATTTTTTTTTTATAGAAAAAAATTTGAAGACTAAATCAGTGTTGATTATTGTCAAATGGAGTTTATGACACAGTCAATGGCATTCTTGATTTATATATATTTACTTTGATATTTGTTACCGTTGACTTTGATCGGCGTATATCTAAAACATGGCTCGTTTTCTTTTTTTTGTACACGATAAAGGGTCTAGTTTTAAATCAACTTGCAATGTAGATAACAAGATCCGAATTATTTATGTGCACGATTGCAATCGACTGTTTTTAGATGATAATAGTCGTTGTTACAGTTCGTCGAAGAAACGAAAAGCCTCAATTTACGTAAATGTGTGATGATGTGTACTTGCAGAAGGAATTTGGTACTTAGTTCACCCAAACGAGAAAAAAGAATCCGTTTATGGATTTTGGAAAGCCAAAGAAGAAGCTCGTGAGATTTATTCGAACTCGGTTTTCATTGGTTGGAAAACCACACTCGAATACTTCGAAGGCCAAATCCCTCATGGAAAAAGAACTGATTGGCTTATGCAAGAGTATGCAATAGCACAAAATAAAACTCGCGATAAAGACGAACAAAAGGTAAATCATTAAAAAAAAAAAAAACTGAATCTTTTTTTGTGTATGTCTTATATTTTACATCAAACGAGACCCGTCATTCAATCTTTCCAATTCGGTTTGACATTTATGCAGGAGTCGAAATTGCTATGCAGAGTGTTCTTCTGCGGTGGGCCCAGTTCTGAAATTGAATCCATGGTGAGTTGAATTGCATGTACGTGTTAAAAGTTTCGTCTTTTAATATGTTCTTGCTTACCCTTTTTTTTTTTTGTAGGAAATGAATAATTTTGAAGTGGGAGAATTTTCGGAGGTAGCTGTTGATGAAGAATCGAACCTTCTAGAATGTCTCTTTACGGGCGACTTCTTGGAGTTGAATGACTTAATCGACCCTCAGTTACATTATTCGAGTTCTTGGAATTCGACTTGTAGCAAATGGTCCGATGAATATTTCGACTCATCGGCTTTCTTGAGGGCATTTGAGGAAGAGGAGAGTAACTATATGCGGGGCCTGCAATTGAGTCCGAGTTACCGTTTTACTAATCCAAACGACACGGTTTTTCACCATGTTGTATCGAGTATGTCAAGAACTCCCATTATTACTAAAGTACCCTTCCGATAATTCTCTTTCCATTCGTTACTCTTATCTCCATTATTTGTGAGAATTTAGAAGTAACAAGGCTACTCTATTGAGAAAAGTAATCATTTTTATCGTTGGAATTCTAAAGTGACAGATATAATGAATTTGTTCATAAAATAGGGAAGGCTTATCGTTTTATCCGTAACTTTTTTTTATTATTAGGGTCTCGGTCGAGTGGTTCTATGAAAAGTGAAGTGGATGAAATGTCAAAAGACGAAAAAGGGCAAGACAACACTTCAACAAGAAGGCACAACTCGAAGGGCAAGGAGACGAATGGTGAGCCTAGCGAAGAAACGAAGGCTGGTTCGAGCAGGATGAAAAAACTCAAGACGTATTTCTGCTTTGCTTCGTTTTGAAACGGAACTTTTTCGTAGTATTATTTATTGCCCGTCTAGTTATGTTCGATAGGCATTCAGTTTTATGGCGTAGTCTAAACGAAGAAGTATCCGATTTCCTTTTCTTTTTTATTTTATGTTTTGAGAGTTCGAGTAATAGTTTTGTTTTGGTTGGTCTCAAGAAGAGAGTAGGAGAAACCTCGGGGGATTTTCTTACATTTTTATTGGATTTGTGATGTAATAATACTCTCCTGCGTTTCTTTTGAAATGTCTCACTTTATATTTTTTAATTTTAAAGATATAATTATTTTTTGCCTTTTATCATTTATGAATATTTATGTAGAAGGGAAAAAATATTTAATATCTTTTGCTATGAGTGCATGATCAACAAAATTAAGTAATTAATTATATTTAACTTCGGTAATAAATGAAATTCAAAAGGCAAGCCAATTAGTGGTTCAACAATTGATAAATATTATTTACCAGAAATGAGATTCGAAAAAATAAATTCAAAATTATATATATACTATTATATAATATATTTATATGCGACCCAGAACCATTCGATTCTATAAACGTAAAACCCATTGTCATCCCTACATATATGGGTTATGAAGTTTTTGCTTCTGAGTTTCAACATTTGTAAGTTATTATTATTGTCTCAAAAACAAACACAAGAAATTCAGACAAAAAAAAGGGGTAAATCAAGGAATTAAAACTAATTTAATAATTATATAAATGTTAATTATATTATTGTCCGGATATTCTACTACTAGTATTGTGGACTAAAGAATTTATTTAAGAAGTAAAAGACTAAACCCACTTTCAACACTGCCCTACTGCACATGCTATGTAAACATTATACACGACCGCTTGTTTTCTTCCTATGCCTTTTCCCCATATCCCAAACCGTCCAATCAACAGCGCCGAAACAATCCAACGGTTCTTAATCAAACCCAACCTATACTATAGAGTCTTATTTATTAGGGTAAATTACAAACACCCCCTGAGGTATGGTCAAATTACAAAAAAACCCTTTTCTTTGGATAATTACATCTACCCCCTCAACTATGATTTTTTCTTAGACCTCCACCTTTATGGTGCCAAATTCAACATAGTCATCTAGATTCCGCGAAATGTGCTCTACTTTGTACTCGTTTTGTGTAAAAAATACAGTTTTTGATGCACCACAAACTGATATATACAAGCTAAAAATCACATATTATGATCATCTTGCTTCATAATGTAGAGTTTGAATAGGATAAAACGGTTACAAAAGTGATAATATTCCATATAATCTCGAAGATTCCACTAAATTTGAGGAGTTGAGGGGGTGGTTGTAATTATCCAAACAAGAGGGGTGTTTTTGTAATTCGACCATACCTCAGGGGGGTGTTTGTAATTTACCCTATTTATTATAATAATAAATTTAAATAAATAAATAAATTGCTCCGTCTTGGCGGGAAAAATGTCTTACTCTTTTTGTCTTGGAGCGAAAATAAAATACAGTAGTTGTTATTTTATTTGCTTTTGATATTTATTAATAAAATAATGATACAGGTGGATCCGAATTTAATTAGACTCTTAATCGGGCCGAATTAGCGGGCTGTGATTTTTTTTCCTTTATAAAATTTAATTTGGATTGTTATCTAGTTTTATCATTGGGCTGTGGATATGTGACAACTGACAACACATTAATATACATATAATGCATGGAATTGATTTGTACGTATTGTTGGAGGGGACACGTCACCCATGTCGGGAAAGACAATACCGAACGGCGAGGTGGGACCCACACCTTTGCTTTCCTTATTTCCCGTCTCTCCGTTTATATATAATTACGGAAATACCCTCTTTAAACATCTTGGTTAGGACTTAATCTTTTCCTTGTTTTTGACACTAATTACCGTCTACTAATTTATTCATTTCAAAATAACAATATTTTAAAGTTTAGGTACCACATATATTGAAAAAATAATAAATATATGTTGATTTCAAAAAAAAATATGTATACATAGTAGAATTAAATCATCAATTCAACTGATTTTATTTTTCTTTCATAAAAAAAATTAGAATTAATAACGACAAATATAGAAGAAACGTTATAAATGCAATATTGGTATTATAAATGACATACACTATAGAATAATTTTTTTTTATTCATACTGCATTAACTCTTTCAATACATGTACTCAAATTATAGGTGTAAATTAATAAATTTTTTGAATTATTTTGATTGTTGTTCGATGTTAGAAAAATATTTTTTAATATATTTCCGATTTTTATTTTATTTTTTCGGAATTTGATTGGAGTACATATTAGATTCTAAATTATAATTTGATTTTAATTTTTTTTTAAATAATTATGAAAATTCATATTTTTTTCCTCGAAAAGTACACATTAAATATTAATATTATTATGTATTTCATATTATAAGTGACAAAAAAATAGAAATTCCAAAATCCCCCAGTTTTGATCCAAATTTTTTTAATTTCAAAAAGTTTTTCTATCCAATTTTTAAAGTAACTCACAATTAAAAAAAAAATGTGAAATGACATTTAATTTAAAATGGAAATAATATCTCCCAAAGGGCTAATCCGTCATTTGCATAAATTATCATTCCCAAGCATGTGAAGCCTCAATTGCATGATTGACGAGCTATCCTCACCACGTGGCGCACTGCTATTTGTCAGTTCAAGTGCTTCGGGATTCACAGTTCTCACGCACAATAATTAAAGTTTGGAAAAGAAACAAGGCAAAAAAAACGCAGCAAGAAAACACACACACTACCAAGTCACTCTCACTCATCCCCCTTTCCCAACTGTGCTTTCTCTCTCTCTCTAGAAAAAAAAAACTCCTAATTTTTTCCCCCCCAATCTCCAGCACCACCACCTTACTTTCTGATTCAATGAATTTTCATTCATCAAGGCTCCATAATTGAGTTCATCAATTCATCTGAAATGCTTGAAGCAGCAGCTGCAGTGGTGAGCAATGGCGGATTTTCTTCACACTCTTCTCAGCTGCACAGCTGCGGCGGCGATAGTAGCGAAGAGGAGCTTTCCGTTCTTCCCCGCCACACTAAGGTTGTTGTCACCGGCAACAACCGTACTAAGTCGGTGCTCGTTGGCCTTCACGGCGTCGTAAAAAAAGCCGTTGGCCTTGGTGGATGGCATTGGCTGGTAATTTAATTGCACTTAGGGTTTTGCTCTTGTTTTTTTTTTTTTTCTTTACTTCCCTTTCTTAAGCTACTAATTTCGAATTTCATTTTTTACTGAAGCAATGCATAGTAATTCAATTGTGGTTGATTGGGTAAAATTCTGGGTAATTTGGCTGCATATGTCTTTTCTGTAACTGGATCTGATGCAGTGTTGGTATTTTCATGGTGTTAGTTTTTATAATTTTTTTTTTTTTTAATTCTTAGTCTGATTCACCGTTTGATTTTTTTTGCTCATTTGAATTTCTTTGCTGCATTTATTTTAATCATTTTAATCCGCCATTGTTGCAATTTCCATTCATCCTCTTTGTTAAATTATTGCAGACAGTTCCTTCCAAGTACAATTGTTCTGTAGTATCACTGGATAATTGCAATATTCCCAGGATAGTTTAATTGTTGGTCTTTTATGCAATTAAATTTGTTACCCATTTATACATTTTTTTTGGCAATTTATTGATTTCGAATTATAAGATTGGGGGAATGAGTTGCAGTTACGAGGATTACTGATATATATACAGGTTCTGACCAATGGGATTGAAGTAAAGCTACAAAGGAACGCTTTAAGTGTCGTTGAAGCTCCAACAGGGAATGAAGAAGACGATGATTTCGAAGTTGAGCAAGTACAGTGGAACAACACAGTTATGGGTAAGCTTGATTTTATCTCCGATATTGATTTTTAATTCCGTTTAATTGCTTTCGATAACTATATGAGATGCCCTTTTTTATTCTGCAAATTTAGATAGTTATAAGCTTGATTTACGAACATATCCAAAATTCTTTTGATGATTCGATTTTTTTGAGAGAAATATAAATTTTCTTGCCAAATGCATTTTTAGTTGAACATGGGAAAGTTGTTGAGGTTGTTACCTGGGATTCTTTACTCTTCTTTTCCACACCATTTTGTTTTTTCTCTTTTCCTTCGACTTTAACGCGTTCTGTGGTAGTCATTCTTTTCTTTGCTTTTCCTTTTTTATCCTGGTCCACCATGTATATATATAATCATCTGATATATATACTATTATGTATTTTCTTAGCATTTGATGATGCTCACAAGTCCCAAAGATCGAGGCATCGTATGTACCGTTCACTTGGTTCGTCTAACAAGACTTTTAGCCGGTCTCTCTCCTGTGATTCACACCCTAAAGATTCTGTTTCAAGAGCAAGGGGCTCTATGGTGAGAAACCTTTTCTTTCTTCTTTTTCTAATTCAATCAAATGAAAGGCATAAGTTATTTTTTGTTCGATAAATTGTTATTACATTTAAGCTATATTTTTAGATTTATGACGTACTTAATTAATAGATTCTTCCTCTTGCACAGAAGGTTGACCTGAGCAAACTCGAGATACCTGCATTATGGAGATATTTGCTGCACTTTAACCTTGTAAGTGACCAACCGGCTTTAAATAAAAAAATAGATACTTATTTATAGTTCATTAGGACACAATATAACATATACACTATCTTGGATTGATTCTATTTCTTGGCTTTCAGGACAATGCCATTCGTAACCCCTCCAAGGAGCAACTCGTCGATGTTGTCCAGAGGCATTTCGTGTCAGATGTAAGCTTAGTAATTAACTATCATATACTATCTGATGTATAATTTTTACTTGTGTTGATTTGCTAATTAAATCATTTTTTCTTCTTCTTTTTTATTTAGCAACTGGATGAGTTGCAGGTTATCACGGGTTTTGTGAAGGCTGCAAAGAGGCTCAAGACAGTTTGCAAATGACGTTTACTCTGTGTATTTTGGTTCTTGATGATGACTCTAACAATTGGTGACACCCAAACCCACATTAAACTGACCCGACCCGCGACCCGTGACCCGTAACCAGATGTTATTAGGATATGATTATGTACGTATGTGTATGTATCCTTGGAGAGTGAGTGTCATGTTTAGTTGTTGTGTAGGCGTAGATATAATAGATATATTATAACTATGTAGATATGTGTTGAACCTGTGGACTGATTGAATATTCCTAATATAGGCCATTCTTTGGCAAATCCTTTGGTTCAATAATTTTTCTTACTAGGGGGAAAATATATTTATATATCTAACCCTAATATATGATCAAATGCTCAATGATCATTGATCAAGGTTATATATCATGGTGTATAGTCATATTACAAATCTTGTATGCATTACTTTTATAAATGGATAAATGAGTAGCGGTGAGATTTGAATTTTAATTGTTCTTGTATGCATTCAGTGGCAATTTGCTAAACACCCATGCACACCAATACCCTTTCAAATCAGGACAATTGTATTTTTGTTAGACATAAAATAGTCATCTTAGACTGAAAATATTTTATTATCATTCAACTCATCAGCCTTCGAAATCATATATACTCTAAAAACGGGTAGTTCTTCCACTCTTTTGCCTCCCTTACTAGTTTTCGGCCGCTGACCGCCTAAATTCCGACACAAAATCATTATGTTATTTCAATGAAGGGTGGAAAGAATTGCAAAACGTTACCTAAGATTTTGAAGACGCTTTTTAAGGCGTGATTGGCTGAAAAAGAAGAAAAGAAATACACATTGGTTAAAAAAGTCTTTGGGATAAAGTCAATAAAGAAATTCATATAGTCAAAAGTTGGTAAAATCTTAGTGCTCAATTAACTAAAATAACTTAGTAAATTTATTTATTTATTTAGAACTAGTCCAATTCTTGACTTATAAATTCATTGCCCCGTGACATTTTCTCCAAAATCCACACACACAAAATGAATTGGTCCATCACAAAATCATGCAATTTCCTCTTCTTTATTTTCATACTCACTTCACTACTATTTGCAACATCTTACTCACTAGTGTCTGAAAATAATTTTCAACCACCTTCCTCCACCACTAATCACCATAAAGGCCGACACCGGAGTCTATCACCGCCGTGTATGCAACATAAGCTAAAGCCACCGCCCCCACGTAAGGCGTTGCTCAGGCCATCTCCGCCACCGCCTCCTCCTCCTCCTCCTCCTGCGTGGTTCTATTTCTACTCTCCTCCGCCTCCGCAAGCATTTAAAAAAAATTGAAAAAAATATTAGTACTCTTTCGAAATTGAGCTGGTTCGTTAGCTTCGCACCGAAATGTAGCAACGTTGAAGTTAAAACAGTCTTTAATTTTGAAACTCTAAATAAATCTTTTTGTCTGCTTGCTCTCTCTATATATTTTGCTGTTAATTACTAACTCCATTTTAAATTATCGATTAAGAGAGTTTTTAATCTATTATTACCGTCACTTTAAATTTTCCCAATTTTTAATAATGCATTACATACATATTCTTTTTATAATTTTATCTTTATTAGTCCAACCTGGTAATAAAACAAAAAATATATTTGGAATTAAAAATACAAAAATTCGAAGTTGTGTTATGAGCCTTGGCAGGGGGTAGTTGGACATATTTATGACATTGGCAATGAAATAATATTGGCGGACACCATAGTTAATAAATAATTTATGACAACAATTATTGTTTGTCTCAATGATCACAACTAAAGCAGGTGAAAAAAAAATAAAAAAATAATGATAATAATAAAAATAAAACAAAAATTAAAACTAAGGCAGGTGAGATCATTACTATATTGTAAGGAATTGAATGTAGTCTTAAAAGAAATGTAGTGATGGTACTCTAATATTGTGCATTTAACTCGTCCCCCTATTAATTTTTGGTATTTTTTGCCTATTGAATTTTGTCTATTTCTTTTTAAAATTTAAAAAATCAAGAATATATTTAATGATTTTCTTAATTTGTATGGATCAAACTAAAAATGGAGGTTGTGTTAGTTGGAAATATTCAAAAACTCTTTTAATTTCACATATAAATATTAAATGCTACTCTTTATGTGATTTCGAAATTATAATTTAAATTATTTATTTTTAGAAAAGTAAAACAAAAGTTGGTTCTGCCAATAATCGAAAACTGATTATGAGCCAAAAAAATCTATCAATTTTCACAAGACTTTTCGACCACAAACTAAATTAGCTTAAACAAATTACCATATTAATTGTATTATACTTCAATCGAGCAGTATTTTAATATTTATTTTATTTTACTCTACAATTTGAGTTTCAATATTAATTTATTTATTTTTTTGACGATAAAACATTTTAGAGAACTACATCTGCCTTCTGAGAATTGTATTCTGGGCTGGGCTTTTTGATAAAATTCAAATTGGGTTTGATAACGACTTGGGAGCTAAGTTGGATGTGATGAAGAGCCCATTTGCTTCTTTACGACGTCGTTCATTTTCTCTTGGCTTTCAAACTAATCAGGTATTATTAATAAGGGCAAATTACGGCAAACACTGAGTTATGGTCAAATTACGAAAACCCTCTTCTGATTTGGTGATTACAACCATCTACTGGCGCAACTTTGATGGGGCAGGGGGCCGTTGACCCCCCAAGAAAAAAAATATATATATTTGGCAATGAATTTTTTGAATATTACTTTTGGCCCCTCAAAGTTTTTGTAAATATTTATCTTGACCCATTATTTTTTTTGTTTTTTCTCCAAAATCTTATATAAATTATAGATAAATATATCATATTTAATATAAAATATAAAATAAGATGGTTAAAACTTGTATTATTTTAAATAAAATTTATGAATATTACTTATTTTAGATTTTTTTTTTATCTAACCCCTTCAAAAAAAAAAGATGAGATCTTGCCATGAATCTCCGAAATATTAAGTGCAGTATATTATTAGAATAATTTGAATTAATGTAGAATTTTTTGTGATGATTAAAATATGATATATATATATATATATATATATATATATATATATATATATATATATATATATATATATATATATATATATATATATATATATATATATATATATATATATATATATATATATATATATATATATATATATATATATATATTTATTTTTTTTTTTATATATTTATATATACATATATATATATATATATATTTTTTTTTGTTGGTTAAATGAAAAATAAATATAAAAATAAATAAATTTATATATATATAATTAGATTAAACATTCTAGCGCTCACTATTTATATTTTTATTTAAAATATATATATATATATATATATATATATATATATAGATAGACAAACACAAAAAAAAATAGATATATATATATATATATATATATATATATATATATATATATATATATATATATATATATATATATATATATATATATATATATATATATGTGATTTTTTATCTCAAACTTATATATATACTCTTTTTTTTCGCTGTGTTGTGCGCCCCTATTTTTTTTCGCGCGCGCCCCCCGCACCCTTAAATTTTAGTCCCCCCCCCCCACATTGCGCCCCCGCCCCCCCCCCCGCCCCCCTCCCT